GCGTCAGGACAATGTATAAAGTAACCACTGACGTATTCAACTCTACATTATTAGTGTAAACTTACATTACATGACTAATAATATAAAGTTGAATACGTCACTGGTTATTTTATACATTGTCCTGACGCACCTGGTGCGTCATATACTTTAGGTTGCAAATATGATAATTAAATATGTGCATATTATTTTTCAATATACTGAAAGAAACAGTTAAAACGATCTTAAAAATTTAATAAAAGAGAAATGACTACTTAAAAACAAATTAATATATACAACACTCAAAAATTTGAATCACTTACATGTTTTTTACATTTTTCTACATTATACACTGTATTCAAAAAATTGAATACTTGCTCAAATCCTTTTTACTAGATGTTTATCATTGAATGATATTCTTAAAATTGAATTTGTATTTTTTCTTTGCTATTGAGTGTATATCAGGTTTGAATGTTGAGACAATGGATAACAAGAAACTCGTTTCGAGAAAATCGAAGGTATGAGAGGTTCGTACAAATTGTCTCCCCGAAGCGAATCGCGGCGTCCTTTATTCGACATAGAAAGAAGGCACAGAGAGAGAGGTATGAGTAGATCATTGTAGACAGTGTCATTCGCGGCTAACAATGTGACAGCCGCTAAGAAGAAAGGCTTTTTCTTGCATCATTGAAACCGACTGGGCGCTTTACGAGCAACCACTCGTTTTCCTTCGTCAAAGTGAACGAGCAGGTTTGTCAGTGCCTACAGAGGCGTTCCTTCTATTGTTGTATCGCGGTGAGAGATCATCAAGTAGCTCTTTGTATCTTGCTTCCTCAATGACGCTTCAATTATGCGAATTAAAGGACAAGTTATATTTAAGATGCTTCGAGTTGATGTCAAAGATTTCCTTGATCTTTGATCGGTACTGAGGTCATTTTTTATATAGAATTTAATTAAATTTTTATATATAATTAAATGACTGTTGCATTTTTTGTTAAAGTGAACTAATTTTGTGGGGAAATTTTATATAGAAAATGAGTATTTAAATAGTTATGTATGTTTGAGGATTTTTTGTTAGTATGAAATTGGTTCTTAAACTAAGTAGTAAATTTGAAGATTTTTAGATTTGAAGTTTTAGATTTGAAATTTTTTAATTCTTGAATTTCTACATTTCTAAATTTCTATATCCCTCAGTTTCTATATTTTTCAATTTCTAAATTTGAAAACTGGAAATTTAGAAAGTACAAAAACATTTAAATTTGGAAGTTTGAACATCTTCGCCCTTAAAAGCACGCTAATTAAAAATTTGTTAATCTCTTCAAATGATTTTGAATCTCTTCAAAAAATTTTTATAAAGAACTCACACAATGGACCATATAAAAAAATCATTTAGCTAAATATTTTATTCCAAAACAAATTCTTTCGCCGAACTATATTTATTATATTTATTTTCTTTTAAAAATATACAATAACATACTGTTTTATTTACAGTAACATATTGTTTTATTGATATAATTCAGTTCCAACTTATCAAATAACTCAGTTCACAACTCACAAGTACTTGACTATAAAATTTTCTTCGCTTTATCGCCCAATTTTTCATTAATCTCGTAAATCTAGTAATTTCGGTCATCTGCTTTGAAGTACGTATAGATTATATACGGCTTTCATCTTAAAATACGTATTTCTACGTTTCGTGCAGCTGGTACTTTGCCAGATGGTGTTCAAGACGAATATGCTTTCGTTGTTCAGAACATGCAATGGGATGGTAATATCGGAAGAGGGAAATTATAAGAACAAGAAAAGCTGACAGAATTTTCCTTGCAACTTATCGCTTTTTCCTTAAAACATTCGCATATTTACAACTGTCATTTCATAAATTAAAATTGTTACAATTTTTTAATCTTTCAACAAAAACGTTACAGCAGTCTTCATATTAAATTTTAATTCGTATTTAGTATTAAAGTACACTTTTAATGTATTTTTAATGTACTTTAGTAGTCAAGAGCTGTGATAAATATTTATTAAATATTTAGCAGAAATTTTGTCGATTTTAATATAATTTATTTTTCAAATTTATTTAACAAAGTAACATTTCATAGAAATAACATTGTTAATATTAACATGAAAGTATTTTCTTTTAAACTAGAATTTATAATATTTATTATGACTTATTATAGTTTGTTCTCAAGTCGTTAATAGTAATTATATTTTAACAATAATAATGTACATATTACCGATCTCTGTAAAATTCATTTAATATAATTCGAAAGAAGAAGAAATAGTATTTCATAAAGATGCTATTAATAGAATAGTACAATCATCCCCAATTATCACATTTATTCTCGCAATAAATATTCTTTATCAGTCGACAAATATTATTAACTCTCACATTATTTATCAAGCGATAAATGTAATTAACTATCCTATTATTTATAAGTTAATAAATATTATTAACCACCACATTATTTGTCAACTGACTATTGTGAGTTGACATATTATTTGTCAACAAACATCACTAACTGTCCTATCAATCGATAAATATTAATCTATCACTTTAAAAATACTGATCGTTATAAAATTTCTGTCATAAATCCCAACAGAAAAAGAATAAACATCCCATCATAACAAACGCATTAATAAAAATATCCTCCATTCGAATCGAGGCATTTCTGCCACCGACTAACGAGAGCCTCTATCCCATTAAAATAAAATTCCGGCGTTCTGGATCTAAGAAACTCTTCGAACGCTTTCGTTATAGCTTCTCGAGTCAGTAGTCTTTTGTTCTTCAAAAATTTGTCTAAATTCGGGAAGAAATGGTAGTCCGTAGGCGAGAGATCCGGCGAATACGGAGGATGAGGCAGAACTTCATATTTCAGTTGATCCAATTTCGCCAACGTTAAACGCGCCACGTGTGGTCGTGCATTGTCGTGCAACAGTATAGGACATTTCTTATCGAACCATTTCCATTTGTTCTCCGTTAATCTCTTATTCACAGTGTCCAACTGGCGACAGTAAGATTCCGCGGTGATAGAAACATCACGTTGCAAAAAACTGTAGTGTACGATACCAGCCATGCACCACCAAACCGTCATCATAATTTTTCCCGGGTACAAATTTGCTCTTGACAATTGTTTGTTGTCGTGTAATATCCACTTCTCGTCGCATGTTATTAATCTGTTCAGAAATGGCTCCGCAATATGTCGTTCTAACAATGAACCGCAAATTTCTAGTCTTCTTTTTTTCTGACTTTCGTTCAAATTGTGAACCACTCTTTTTTCCAGTCTCTTAATTTTACCCACATCTTTTATACGTTTGAATACCGTCATCTCTTTGTAGTCAGACACTTTTTGCAGCTTTCATTTTGCGAACTGTTGTTGTTGGAAGAAAACGACAAACTAACGTTTGGGACTTTTGTTGTCCCGGAAGTTAAAGCTAGATTAATTTATAGTGGCCTCTAATAGGCGGAGTATGAGCTTGAACTTGATTTCCGCATCTATTTTGCGAGGATTTCTATAGCGTTATTTGGATATAGTACAAGAGACTTTCTGCTAATTATAGGTATTAAGTAATATGTGTTTATGAACGTTCCGCCAAGTTTAATGTATTCATATAAGTTTGCCTAATTCGTAATGTATAGTATGTACAGTGATTTATATTTAACTAGTGATGGGTTCGAACCGCTGCAGGTTTTCAAACAATTCAAAGTTTCAAACCTTTTGCTGATTGAAGTACTTGAAATACTTGAAAATTATGTTTGTGCAGATTTAATATTATGTGCAGAAATTTTTGTTGTCCAGGTTATTTCTTTCTATTATTCTATTATTTTCAAGATTATTGCTTTCAGACCCAATTGTGTTAAATTACACATTTCAGGGAGACAGCAATTTCTGTACTTATTACTCTGGGATCGAACGTGTTAACATTCTTCAGTTAATAGTATATATTTAACAAAATATAATCTTGTATTGAAGGACCATATGTGTTAATATTTCTTAACTAACAAAATATTTTTAACAAAGAGTAATGTCATGTCTTGATCGTGTTAATATTTCCCAGCTAGCAAAATGTTTTTAGTAAAACATAACGTGTCATATTTGTAATTGATGATTAAGTAATGAACTATTAAAAATACAAATGAAGGACTACTAGTTAACTATTAAAATTATTTAGTAACATACTATTAAAATCTTTTTTCTTTTCTTTTATTTTATAAGTATGTTATCTTCGTATTTTAGCAAACTGCTTAGAATTTGAAGGAATCTTTTGATTCTTAATTTAAAATTCTTAATCTTTGATTCCTAATATATTCATGCACCAGTGTAGTCAATTTAAATAAATTTTATTGATAATATCATTGTTTCCTATTCTTTGACGTTGTAGAAGGGTTGTAATATAGAAACGTGAAAAGTGCATACCTGGAACATTCGATCTACTTTCTCACGTACGCCAGCGTGATCCAGATTTGGATCAGCAAATTTCCCCATCAGTTCGTATACGGCTGTCACGATGTCCGTCATTTCTTCTCTCGTGATACAACCGTCGCCGTTGATATCGTAAAGGGAAAATGTCCACCGTAGTTTCTCGTCGATTGAACCACGCGACAGTATGCTGAGACCAGTGACAAAGTCCTGTAAAGTCAAAATCAAATTTATCTTTCCTATATTCAGCAGAAAATTTACATAGCTTTTCAAATATTGTATAAATGGATATTTTGGAATATCTTTTAGTATTCTTGCTAGGTATGAAAATACAGAATATCTGAATGTTCCTGTTTATAACAAATTTTTACCTAAAAATGTGCAGTATATACCTCAAACGAAGAGAAACCTAATTAAAATTTAGCGTCCATGTTTTTCAAAATTCTGAAGGATGTAATATTGACTCAAATCTCTTTAGATTATTGTTCTCCGTTAACACTTAAACTACCAAACCGGTTAAATGACCGTTCCACAAGATACTTATTATAAATGACACAATTTGTTGAATTGATTCTTCTGATATCTGTATTGATCTTCATCAAGATAAAGAATTAATGTGTGTACTAATTTATGTATGGTCGCTTGTTCATTTACTTTTTGACTCCATTTTTCATCTCAGATTAAGTACATATTATACGCCGGTAGATTTAGTGTTAAATTAACAGTCTGGCATATCAATCGTAGCCAAACTGAGAAATTTGGGAATTGGCAAGTTGAAGAATTGGGAAATGTAGGATTTAGGGCATGTGAGAATTGGGGAATGTGGGAATTGGGGAATGTGGGAATTGGGGAATGTGAGAATTGGGGAATGTGGGAATTGGGGAATGTGGAATTGGGAAATGTGGAATTGGGAAATATGAGAACTTGGGAATGTGGAATTGGGGAATGTGGGAATTGGAAAATTTGAGAATTAGGGAATACAGAAATTGGGGAATGTGGGAATTGGAGAAAACGAGAATTGAGGAATGTGGGAATTGGGAAATGTGGAAATGGGGACTGTGAAATTGGGGAATGTGGGAATTGGGGAATGTGGAATTGGGGAATGTGAAAATTAGAGAATGTGGGAATTGCAGAATGTGAGAATTCGGGAATACAGAAACTGGGGAATGTGGAATTGGAGAATGTAGAGTTGGGGAATGTGGAAATTAGAGAATGTGAGAATTGGAGAATGTGAGAATTCGGGAATGTGGGAATTGGGGAATACAAAAATTGGAAAATGTGGTTGTCAAAATCTTTATGAATGTAATACTGACTCAAATCTCTTTAGATCATTGTTCTCCGTTAAATTAGCAGCCTGGCATGTCAATCGTAGCCAGTTATTCTGATTTCATATTGAGTTGAAATTCGATCTGTTCCTTTACGGTGATTGCATGATATTAGAGTTGAGATTACAGACTAACGGTAAAGCGTTTAATTGGAAAACCAATTGATAATACCAATGCCCTGGGAATTGATTAATCGAAGCAATTTAATGGAACTCAAAATAGCTCCAACGTTTCATTTATTTTTGAGGGTTGTATTTGCAAAGATACAATTGCAATACGCGGTAACGGATGAATCGATATTATTGACATTAGAGGTACAATTAATTATCGGATTTATACTCGCGTTTTACCTGATAACTCTGTATCTCTGTTTTATAAAGCTGCGAGGCATTTTTCGTTTAAAATCAGAGCAACTAAATTAGCTTGCTTTTAAAGGTTCAATTTTGTTAGAATTCTGCGGTGTTTCTGCCTTTAAATTTCAAAAACGAACATAAAAGTGGTTAGCAGAACACAGACGTCACAAGGTATGTATCACATTCGGGGGAATTTGATTATTTTTCGCGCTGTGAAAGTGAAATCAAAATGCACGCGAAAAGTCCATTTAATCGTGTGTTAATTGACTGTCCAACGGTAACAGCAGATAATACATCGTCCCATGGGTAATAAAGTTTAATGGCATTTCGCTAAGTTACGAACCAGAAACTCGTTTCAGACTGAAAACGTACATTCCACAAACGATTTCTACTTTATACTAGAACCTACACGTACGTATGTTAGTATATCAGTGGAGAAATATAGATAACATTTCGACTATCGATAGCTCTCGTTATCAAAATTTATCTACTTTTTCGTAATAGTAGATGTTACATGTTACACTTTTTTTGCTGTCATAACACATGTGTTATCACATATAATTGTTAATATTTCAATTTTTTTTGCTTGATCTTTTGCATATTATGTAACTATGGGTTAATTATAAATTAATATAAATTAATACATTTATAAATTATAAATTAATAAATTTATAGGAATGTTATTTTCTGGTATTTCAAAGTGAAATTGAATGTATTGTTATCTGTGTGTTTGTATATAATTTTTATCATTAATAGTATATGTAACGTGTAGGTAAAGCAGATTTCTGTTATAGCCTAGTGTAACCACACTTTCGGAATTGAAAATTTGTAATTTTTTAGTTTTTTAATTTCAGCTTTTAGAAATTTGGGAATTTGGAAATTCGGAGATTTAGAAATTTGAAAATTATGAAATTTGGATATTTGGGAATTTGAAAATTATGAAATTTGGGGATTTAGAAGTGTGGACATTTGGAAACATGGGGACTTAGAAATTTAGGAATATAGGAATTTAAGAGTTTTTAAAATTTGTGATTTGGAAATTGGGAAATTTAGAAATTTAGGGATTTGTAAATTAAAAATTTGGTAATTGAAGGACTTAGAAAATTTGTGAATACAGTTATTTTTAAATTTCATGATTCAGAGTGTTGGGTGTTTGGAAATTTTGGGATTTAGAAATTTGGCAAAATAGAAAATTAAAAATTAGGGAGTTCTGATCTGAATACTCTGCAATGTGAGAATTTAGAGATTAGAAAATTCGAAAGTTTAAAAGTTTGAAATTTGAGAATTTAGAAATCTGAAAATTTGGAGATTTAAAAATTGTGAATTATAATTTGAAGACGTAGAAATTAGAAAATTAAACAATTTTGAAGTTTGAGAAAATAAAAAATTTCTAAGCTTGAGAATTGAAAATTGAGAATTGAGACATTTAGAAATTTGGGAATTAAAAATTTTTTAAATAAAAAGATATGTAAATTTGTAAATTTGACAAGTTGTGATTTTGTGAATTTAGAAATTTGTTAGTTTGAGAACTAAAAAATTTGTGAATCATAAAATGTATAAATGTCAGAATATGAAAATTTAACCCAATATTCCCCCACGCGATATTCGCAAAACTAAAAGCGATATAAACCGATGAAAAGCAATAAAATCAGAAAAGAGAACGATCAAATAAAGCGGAATAAGATACATCAAATCGAATAAATGTAATAAATTGGAATTCATATCGAAATAACTGTATGTTATAGAAGAAAATATTGGATCAATTTCGAAACGTACATACATGTGTAACTGAAAAAAACGATTCAACCGTGCGAACTATTTCCAATACAGCAATTATTATGGAAATTCTGGTAGAACTTTGAATAGTCCTAAAAGGAAGAGACCTGTTCGCAACTTTCATTCCATTGTACCATTCATTCGTATTTCAATTTACGCCGGAAGGAAACGATTGCAGTAACACTATTGCATGCAATAGTACCATTTGAGAGACCCTACCGTATGAAAATCGAGCACAGGTGCTACATAACTGTATTTTGAGATAGATGACGCTCCATATCTCACCTGCATCGAAATTTCAGATTTCAGGTTTCAAATTTTATACTGTAGATTTGTAGTTTCAAAATCAATTGCTATCTTTCAAATTTATTTATTAATACAGGATGTTTCCTGTAACGCTATTCATGATTTTTCTTCCACTTGCAGCCACCTTACGGAAAAATCCCACTTGTAGCTACCTTACGAAAAAAAGTTTAGAACAATATTTGCAGGGTATGAAATGTATGATAGATGTTAGTAAAGCAAATTTAGAAAACAGTTTGTTCTCTTGGCAAAGTCAAGGTCACCTTGGGTTTTTTAAATGGGAACATGCATTTTTTTTATTTGTAGCTTTAGAGGACATCGAGATGAATTCAAAATACATGTTACATGATATTCTTATTAACATATTACTTGATTTACAGGAATGGAAATGTAAAGTAAAAGACCGGAATATTACGTGATGGAAGGCGGCATACATTTTGAATATGTAATTAAATAAAGTCTATTTTTTTTACATTCTAGTCGCGTGTTTACATTCAGTAATCTCTTCGGAATCAAATAGTGGTTACATTACCAAAGTCAAAAGCTAAGTACTACACATTTCTTCTTCTGTAAATTGAGTAATATGTTAATAAAAATATCATGTAATATGTGTTTTTAATTCATCTCGATGTCTTTTAAAATTTAGTTCACAAGTTTCTTAAGTCAAAAATTGTCAAATTTTCTAGTGCTCAAATTTTTTAATTACAGATTATTAAATTTTCTAGTTGTCAGATTGTCCAAATTAAAGATAGCTATATTTTCTAGTCCTCCACTTATTAAAACTAAAGATTGTCTAATTTTTTAGTTCTCCATTTTTCAAAATGAAGAATTGTCAGATTTTTTACTTTTCAAATTTTCAATAGTAAAAACTGTCATATTTTCTAGTTTAAAAGTTTTTAACGATAGAAATTGTTATATTCTCTTGTTCTCAAATTTTCAAAATTAAAAACTGAAATTTTCTAATTTTCAATATCAAAGATTGTCGAATTTTCTAGTTTCCTATTTTCCAGCATCAAGGTTTGTCAAATTTATTTCTTAAATTTTTTTAACTTGAAGTTTGCAATATTTCCTCTTTCTCTAATTTTAAAAATTAAAAACAGAAAACCAAACAAAAAATTAAAAACCTTCATAACGTGACACAATTATTCTCTATAATCACATTGCAGGAATATTACATTTATAAAATCATAAAAAAGTATTTCTAAATTATATATTAGTATAAAAACAGCGCGACTCATTTACATCGAAAATTTTCTGCAAAATATCACGTGTCTTCGTTAATAAAATAAAACAGCACCCTCGTTTCCTCTGTAGCCCCAAAAGGTAAATTATAATTATTAAAAATATTAGACAGAATATTCCACAACGAATATAAATTTTTCTTGCGTTAAAAAATGTGCACACATTCATTCAAGTGATGATTGAAATATTTCGTGAACCACTATGCAAATTA